CAGAGATGAGATCAATTTCATTAATCAATGAAATAACGATTCTAACCCAAGGTGGGGTGCCTGCAAATGAGGGACAGTTACATAACATTTGCATCTTATGTCTATTTCTTTCTTTCCTGTTCAAATAGAAAAATAGGTAACTGCACAGTTCATATTTCCTTAAAATAAAACAACTTCTGACCAAAAATTCTTGAAAGAGCAGCTTTGATGTCTTTGTTTCTCATACTGTAGATTAACGGATTCAGCATGGGGGGAATAGTGGAATACATTATCGTTATTAGGAAGTCAGGATGCGATGGACTGTCAGCTACAGGTTTTAGGTAAGCAAAGGCACCAGTAAACAGAAATATGGAGAAGACAATGAGGTGTGGCAGACAAGTGGAAAAGGCCTTTTTCCTTCCTTGAACTGAAGGGATTCTCAGAACAGCAGAGAAGACATGCACATAAGTGACAATGATAAAAGCAAAACAGCCGATTGTTAATGTAGCACTGAAGACTAGAACTCCAATTTCAGTTACGTATAAACCAGAGCAGGCAATCTTAAGCAAATATGGGATTTCACAGTAGAACTGATCGAGAGTATTAGAACAGAAAGGGGTATTAAAAGTGACAGTGGTGTGTAATGAAGCATTGAGAAGGCCGGCAGTCCATACACTGCCAACCAATTTGGTGCAAGCCTTCCTGTTCATTATCATTTCATATTGTAAAGGGTTACAAATGGCAACATACCGATCATAGGCCATGACAGTAAGAAGGGGAATATCAGAGCTCAGGAAAAAGACAAACAACATGACTTGGGCAACACATCCAGAATGAGAAATAGTCCTTATCTTCATCAGAGAATTAAAAACCGCTTTGGGGAGAATGACTGAAACTGAACCAATGTCTTGCATGGCTAAATTCATCAGGAAGAAGTACATGGGGGTGTGCAGGTGGTGGTCAGAAATAACAGCAGAGATGAGGAGAAGGTTCCCTGTTACCGTCATTAAATACAGTATCAGTAATAACACTGTATGCATAATCTGTAGCTCCCAGATCTTTGAGAATTCCAGGAGAAGAAACTGAGTTGTTTCATTATCCATTCTTAATAATTACAGCCTTAGAAGGAAAAGGGAAAAGAATTG